CTCCTCCCTTCCCCCGGCCATCGCCACACTGCTGTTCACGTCCGTGAGTTTTTCTCTTGTAATTTTCTTTTTTCCTTAATCCCTCTACCCACCCAGCCCCCCTGCTGACAGCTGTCAGCTGCCTCTCTTTCTAGGAATCTGTTTCTGTTAGTTCACTTTATTCATTAGATCCCACATCTGAGTGATGTTTTAAGGTACTCGTCTTCCTCTGACTGGCTTATTTCACTCAGCATAATACTCTCCAGGTCCATCCATGCCGTTGCAAAGGGTAAGATTTTCTTCTTCTTTACGGCCAAGTAGTATTCCATGGTGTGACTGTATCACAGCTTTTTTATCCGTTCGTCTACTGCTGGGCACTTGGGCTGCTTCCAAATCTCGACTGTTGTAAATAACGCTGATTTATCATAAATGAACACAGGGGTGATTACTCTCTTTTGAATCAGCATTTTGGGTTCCTTCAGATAAATTCCCAGAAGTGGAATCACTGGGGCAACGGAACAGCCACTAAACTATAAAGAAAAGCAGAGGTGAAAAACAAGCATCCATAGCAACAAGCACACTCGGAGCCCAGACGAGTTCCCAACAACATCCCCCAATGATGAGGGCCAGGGCTCCTTGGGGAAGTGACCGATGTTAGGAACAGAGCAGAAGATACACGCAGTGTGTCTGGAAATACACAAGATGTGCTGGAAAAATGGTCGTGAGGGCGATCTGGCTGCGACATCTGTCACCCCATGGATCGCCAGGGTGGATTTGGCTGATCTGGCTGGCTCGGCGGGTGTCCCCTTCCTCCCTCACCTGCCCAGGTGCATCCGTCCCGAAGCTGCGTGCTTGGTCGAAGAGGACGACCTTCCCAACTAGAAGAGAGGACCGGTCTTCGCTCAAGGGCATACAAGTAGCTGCGCTCCCCTGCTAGAACCTTTAAACGAGCTCTCAAGATGTGCTGGAGAAATCAGGAAGAGCTAAAACACGCACGTACACACATATCCACACACAATGAGGGTCTGTGCAAGGACCCAGGAGCCAGCTGAAAGAGCACCCAACGGTCAAAGCTGCAACCATTTGAGCAACTAAATAAATAATGTGCATTGGATTATAACCCATAGCATACAATATCCACAAGTCCACACGAATAAAATATAAGGTGACTGAGCCCTGGCTGAGTGGCTCAGTTCATGGGAGCATCATCCTATATACCAAAAGGTACACGTTTGATCCCCAATCAGGACACAAACCTAGGTCGCAGTTTCCATTCCTCATTGGGGAGCATATGGGAGGCAACTGATCAAAGTTTCTCTCTCACAACAATTTTTTCTCTCTTCCTTCCTCTCTCTCTAAACCAATAAAATAAATCTTCCTTGGGTGAAGATTTAAAAAAATAAAATAAAATAGCCCTGGCAGGTGTCACTCAGTGGATTGAGCATGGGCCTGGGGACCAAAGGGTTGCCGGTTCGGTTCCCAGTCAGGGCACATGCCTGGGTTGCAGGCCAGGTCCCCCGTAGGGGGCGCATGAGAGGCAACCACACACTGATGTTTCTCTCCCTCTCTTTCTCCTTCCCTTCCCCTGTCTAAAAATAAATTAAAATTTTAAAATAAATAAAGTGATTGAATAAATAAACAAATGAGGAAGAAGAAACAGATTTCCTAGGCAGAAGATTTCCGGATAATTGAGGTAGATATCATCCTCTCAAGGACAGGAAGCAGAGCTCTCCCCTTCATGATTGTGGACTGTGAGGAGAAACGTCCTACCAGAGTATAGCGTGGGGAGGCAGGGGGAAGAGTAACTTTACAGTGAGGAAATCTGATAAATATGATGGTCAAGACGGACAGCAATGGTGATAAGTCACGTGGATGGTATGCACCCCTCATATCATTTAATGAGAATAACACTTTACCTCTGTTCTGCCACGAAAACCATAATCCCAGTCTAATCATGAGAAAAACATCAGGAAACATGGTGCGCATCACCTGCTCAAAACTGCCATGGTCATCAAAACAAAGCCTGAGACATTGTCATAGTCCAAAGGAGACTGAGGTGACGTGATAACAAAATGTTACCTGATGTCCTGGGCGTGACCCTGAAACAAACAGGACATTAGACAAAAACTAAAAAAATGGGTGTCGGTTAATCCTAATGTATCAGTATTGGTTCATTAGTTGTAACAAATGTACAATGTGAATGTACAAGTTGGATAATAGAGGAAACTGAGTGGGGGGTATGTGGAAACTCTCTGTTCTGTTTGCCACTTTTCTGTCATCTAAAACTGATCCAAATACAAAGCTGTTTTTTACTACAGAGGAAACATGAACTACCGAAAGGCACACTAGTAACTCGAAAGAAGACGCCTTTGGAACAGCGGCTCGAAGCTGAGCGGGAAGAGAACATGTGAAGAAGAGGAAATAGGACCAAGGCTCTGAGGTGGGAGCCAGCTCGAGTGTTCAAGGAACAGCAGAGGTCACGTGGCCGGAACAGAGAGAGCGAGGGGAGAGCGTCGGGGAGGTGAAATAACAGGGTCATCGGCTTTGGTGTCCAGCAGCAGTTAATATTCTTGGCAATGGTGTCTGCCCAGCTGATAGCTATGAAATGGTATGTCGTTGTCATTTTCGTTTGAACTCCCCTGATTATAATGGGGTTGGACATTAGTTTATTGATCATTCCTGAAAGTCAGAAAATTTGAAGCCACTGCCGATGACTTTTATCCGGCTGTAGCAAAGGACAACCCGAGGCCTGAAAGCCCTGTGCAGTTGCTAAGATCCTTTCCCAACCTTGGAAAGAAGGTTCTTGGACACTAGAGTCACCAGATTTAGTGACTAGAAATACAGGAGTTCAGCCCTAGCCGCTGTGGCTCAGTTGGTTGGAGCATTATTCTGTACACCAGAAGGTTGCAGGTTCAGTCCCTGGTCAGGGCACAGGGACTGAGGGTTTTAGATTTGATCCCCGGGGGGGGGGGGGTGCGGCGGGGGCAACCCAGTGATGTTTCTCTAACACACGACGTTTCTCTCTCTGTACAATCAATAAGCACATCTTCAGGTGACGATTTCATAAGAGTATATGTAGGGCTTTCAGTCAAATTGCTTGGGCTGGGCTCGAATCCTGGTTCTACCTCCCGCTGTGTGACCAGTCTTCTTCACTTTTCTGTCCTGGGTCACACTTTCCTACCTGTCTGGTGTTACCTAATTTTAGCGACAATAAAACAGCTTCCTCGGGCGGCAAATGGAAGTAACCCCACTGGGAGTTTGTGAGGATTAAATGAGCTAATGCACACAACGGTTGGAACAGAGTCGGTGCTCAAAGGCATTAGCAACAGTATATGCCTAACACGACGTATGTATTACTTCATAGCACCGAGTAATTCAGATGATCTGCCCGGTGAAACTGAGAATGAAAAATAGAAAAGGGAGAGAGAGCAGGAGCGTGCTTTGCTTATTTGTTCAGCAAAGGTTGGCTGGGTCCGTAGCCTTCTCTGTTTCAGAGCCAGCGTTGATGACCAAGACGAAGTTCAGCCCAGCTCAGATCCATCAGGAATTCTTTGGTCGCAAGTGACAGAAATTCAACTCAAACTAGCTTGGGAATACGAGAGAAATTTTAATGGCTCACGTAATCAAAATTCTGGCCTGATGGGGTGCAGCTGTCCTGCAGAGTGCAGGAGCCAGGGAAGTGAATTCTCAGTAGGACTTTCTCACTCCATCTCTCTTGTTTGTTTCACCCCGGGTCAGTTTTATTCTGTGGGGCCGGGAAAATGGCCAGAGAGCTCTGGACCTATTCCTTTACTGCCCCACCACCCAAAAGGAAAAGGCTTCTTGCCCCCCCAAATCCATATCCAAAAACTGAGGGAAAGACTCTCATTGGCTCAGCCTGCATTCTGTGGTGGGACATAATGATTGGCCCAGCTTGACTCACTGCCATCCTTCGACCAATCGAGGCGAGGAGAGAAGCGGAGCGACACAAGTGACTGGCAGCTCGTTCGAATTCCAAACAAAGGCGGGGAGGGTAAGTTTGAGCTGCACTAACCTTGTCATTAATTATTTTTCCTCTTATTGCCAGAACCTTGGAACAAGGAATGCAAAAGTGAGGTGGTCTAGATGACAGGAGATGGTTGGAAAGTCTTGTCTCCACAACCCAACTAAGCACAGGCTCCTGCATACAGCAGGCGCCCAATTCATACTCATTGAATGAATGGCTGAATTAATTCCCTGTTCCCAAAAGCTGATCTGGGACGGCCCCAATTTCATAGATTCCTGAGCCAATCAGAAGCGAAGTGGGAATGATAGGAGTCCGGCACACCCGTGGAGTGCATCTCAGGGCGCAGACACCTGCCTGGGACTTGGGGGCAGGAGGATGGAACCTTGAGACGACGGACAAAACCTTGAAGACCCCGCCACCACCTAAAGCCCAGTTGGGGGCGGGGCTTCTAGACCACAGCATTTTGGATTGCTCCATCTTCCATGCGCTAGAGGGGAGATCAAAGAAAGTCCTTCTGCACCTTCTGCCGGTTCCTTACCACTCTATGGCCACGAAGACAATGTACTTACTTCCCTACCAGCCAAAGTGTTTCCATCTTAACCTCTTTCTGCCTCACTACTGCACGCAACCACACATTTCAGGCTCCCCTCCCCACCACCACTCAGTGGCTCTTCCCAGTTTGACGCATTGCAGGGAAAGCCGGACCAATGGGCGCCACGCTCTTATTTCCGCTATGGCCCAGACCCAATAGCGGCGCGGCTCACACCAGAGACGCGTCACGCGCGGCCTACCGTGTCCCTCCGCCAGGGAGGAAAGTGGTGTGGACACAGGGGGCGGGGCGCGCGGCAATCGAAAGTAGTCCCGTTGCCGGTTCGCGCGCACGCGCGCGACCGGTGGCAAACCCCGGCTCAGTACAGGGTGGGAGCGGGAGATTCGCGGGCCCAGCCGCGCAGTTAGGGCGCGGAGGGATCCGCGGGAGTCGCAGTGCGACGGCACGTGGGCCGGGTGGGGCGGGGCGGGGCCCAGCGAGGCGGGGCGCGCGCGGCGTCCGTTGTGGGACCGTTGGGGCGGGCGGCGGTGGCGGCGGCGCGCGCTGCGGGCAGAGTGTGGAGGCGCGGACGCGCGGCGGAGCTCGAGCTGCTGCAGCTGCTGCCGCCGCCGGAGGAACCTTGATCCCCGCGCTCCGGACACCCCGGCTTCGCCATGGTGAGTGAGGCTGTGGGGCCGCGGAGGCGAACACGTCGTGGCAGGACCCTGAAAGAACGAGTGGACCCAAAATGGGGGGGTAGTCCAGGCCCCGGGGGACGTCTCTGGACTCCTTGCTGCCTCCCAGTCGGGGGCATCTGAATCCAGAGGGGGACCTTTGGGTCCCAAAAGGGGGGTTGGGGACTTCCAAAAGCTACTTTAAGCACCAAATGGGTTGTTTAGACCCCCAAACGGGCATCGGAGCCTCTATGTTCAAGAGCCTTTGAACCTAGGATGGAACATCTGGATCCTCAGAGGGGCGTTTGGACCCCTCCTAAGAGGCGTTTTGAACCTAGGCTCGGGCGTTTGGTCGTTGAGATGGGGTGTTTGGACCTCAGCAGGGCGAGATAAGAAACACTGGCAGGGGTGGGGGTTACTTGGGCCCTGATGAAGGCTTTGGGTCCTGAGTGGATGCAGGGAAGAGGCATCAGGCGCGGGCTGGACTCCTGGGGAGCGCCCCCAGAAGGCGCAGTGGGTAGCTGGGCCTGGATGGTGATGGGGGTGACTTCTGCAGAGAGTAGAAGGGGGATGTCCGCGAAGACCAGCATTGCAGAGGATGGAGGAGGAGGGTAAACCTCAGGGGAGGAAGGGCCTGGGGTAGGTGGTAGCGAAGGTTAGAAGATGCTCTTGAGGTCTGCGGGGACCGAAAAGGATTGGGATTAGGCAGGTGGTTAAAGGGGATAATGGCAAGGCTGGTGTTTGCCGGTGGTGGAGCAGCAGGGGGCCTCATGATCGATTTCAGGGCACCCACAAAGATTCCAGGGTTACTAGTGGGTTGAGGCTGTTGATCTAGGAGGGGGGTCGGGTTTGGGGGAGTCAGGGAAGAGTGTTGGGTTTGGGTCCATGAGAAGGTGGCTTTCCAAGGTGAAGGGTGGAAGAGGATGTGGGCTGGGGTGGCCCAGGGTGAGGTTGTAGGAGGCCTGGGGCAGGGAGGAGGAAATGAATGGCAGCTAAGGTGGGTCTAGGTTTGGAGATAGATGTGAGTAGTTCCCTGGAAGTCTCCAGAGAAGAGCTGGGACAAAGACCATTCAGTCTGGATGGGGAGTGGGCTGCAGAGGCTGTAGAGGGGCCCCCTTCCCCAAGAAGAACAGGTTGGGCAGAATCCCCCCCACCCGGGGAAGTGTGAGCAGGTGGGTGGAGTTGTTCAGGCCCTTATTGCGCACTGAAGCCGCATGAAATGGGGGTGGGGGGTCAAAGTTTAGGGTGCATCACATGAGCCAGGTTTTAAGCCTTCAGCCTCACCCCTGTGCTGCCCCTTTCGGACCAGGAGAGCGGCTTTTTCCAAACTGGAGGGCTTGTTTCTCTGATCTCCAGCTCCACGCACATCTCAAGTGTGCCAGATGACAGTGCAATGCAGTGTGGCGTCAGTGACGAGCAGACGCCTGGTCCTCTGGCCTCAGGGTGGGGGCTGTGGAGCTTGGCCAGAGAGGACCTCCAGAGAGACCCCTTCATCGGCCTGAGGGCCACTCGCTCCGCTCAGGGCTCTCACTGAGTACTCCCGTTAATTCACACAGCTGGACTTTGAGAGAAAACCAGCAGACCGGTTCTTTCCTACTCCCCACCGCCCACAACACCCCCAGCCCCGCCAGGCTCAGACTCAGAACCGTGGGCAGCCTCCTCCCTGGCGAGGCCAGGCAGAACGGGCAGCCGGGCTGTGTGTCAGATCTCATTCTTGCTGACACAGACTTGATGGCTTCTCTCACTGCTGCCCCGCTGTCCCCCAGCAGGACTGCTCTGAAGGGGTGCTGAACCACTGGCAGGTGCCAACAGCCCCCTACTTCCCAGATAGCACCCGGGCTTTGGCCCCGGGTAGTTTCTCTTTCCAGTTGTAATCAGCAGGGTATGGGTGGGACAAGTCCCAGTAAACTGGCCTTGGACGGACTTTGGCCTGATAGCTGCAGCTCCTCCTTGGCCAGGTGAGGGGCCCTGGCCCTGGTTTCCGATCTCATCTAACACTGCTCCCTGGCCTGGACTGGGGGCTGGGCAGAGCAGAGAAGTGACACCCTCTTCCCCCCCCCCCACCCTGACCCCACCCCACAAGGTGTTTCTTGTCCAGCCAAGTGCTGGAGCCCAAGATAAGGGAAAGGGGAGCAGGACACCAGCTGGGTTATTTGGGGGGCAGTTTTTGGTAAAGGCTTAAAATCTTCAGTCCTGGAAAGGGAGGGAGCCCTGAGAAGGGTCCCCGTGGCAGCGATGGCTTCTCAGGTGATCAGTTTGCTGGTGGCAGCCACACGTTCAAATTTGCAGCTTGGAGCTAAGACCTTCCGTCCACCCAGCAGGGGAGAGGGTCTCCTGACCCGGAGAGAGATTGCCTGGCTGGCCCCCAGGCACAGCCACACCTACTCCGGGGCAGTGGGCAGCCAGCAGCCGGCAGACACTGGCCTGCCCCAGCCCCTGACGGCACTTCCCAGAGGTGGGGGAGAACTGGGCTTCCTGCAGAGCCCAGCGGTGCGGTGGGGGTGGGAAGGGCCCCGGTTGGGCCTGCGTTTCCATCTAGGCCAGGAGAGAGGATGGGAAGCAGGTGGCAGCCCTCCTCCCCAGGCTGCTGCTCTCCGCTCTGATCTTCCTCTTCCCCCTCCCCTGGCGTTGCCTGGCCTTGGTAACCAGAGCCCAGCCTCTCTCTTCTCACTTTCCCGGAGCAGCTTCCTCGGGTGGCAGGATCCTGGGGACCGGCCCAGGCTGCTTTGCCCATGGGAGTGGAGGGAGAGGGCAGAACAAGGGGCCTGGGGGCCTGGGGCTGCGGGCGGGCGGGCGGCTGGGAGCCCAGCAGCCCCTAGTCTTTTTAAGTCAGTGAAGGAGTGTCTGTTTGGCCTCCAGACCTTCCCTTTGGACTTTGGACTTTTCTAGAACGAGCATATGGGGTGCTTTTCGCCCCCCCCCACTTAGCCATCTCTCCTCTGTCCCCATCCCTTCGATTTCCCCTTCCCATTCTGCCTGTTTGGGGGCTTGGCTTCAAGCTTCTCTTCCCTTAGATGTCCCCCCAAAAAAGGACATTTGAGATCCGTTCTAATGTGACCATTACTTCATATTTGGGATGGGGTGGGCGTTTGTGGGGTGGGCGCTAGCTTCCATGGAAGTTCTGGAACCTCTTTGTGGAATAATGCAGATACAGTAGTTTGCACCATTTGAGGGGACTCTCAGACCAAAAGCCAGCACCCTGCTGTAGATCCGGAGCCGCCTTCCCCTGATTGTAAAAGGAAGTCAGCGAGGGGGGGGGCACCCAGTCTGGACACACAGTGGTCGGCGGGGAGGGTGGTGCCTTCTTGGTATCAATCACAGAAACCAAGGGAAATGTATCTTTTTGCTGCCTGTGTGGGGGTCAGCCCTGCACCTGAGTCCTCCGCGAGGGGACCCCTGGACCTGGCCCACTCCCAGCACACGGCACAAGGAAAGCTAGTCTTGGCCCCTCCTCCGCCCCACCCCCAAACCCCGCATGCAGCAAGGGCTGCCTGCCACTGGCTGGTAGCCAGTCCCCAGAGCGGCCAGGGCTGGAAAAGGTTAAAAACTGCAGCGCTGCTGGGGAAGCTGACTTTAGTCCTGCAGCCTCTGCCACCGCTGCTGCCCTCTGCAGTCCCCTCCCCGACATTTGCCCCTCCTGTCTGAAGGAAACAGAACAGAATGATGCCCTGCACCATCCCTCTGGCAGGGGAGGGGAGCAGCTGGCCTGACCCGGCTCCTCTCGGGCACTCAGAGCAGCTCAGAGCCACCAATGAGGAGCATGTTTGCCAGTTGGGTGCCCTGCGCTTGGACTTAGCACCTCCAAATAGCTGACACAGAAACCAGCAGAGAGCCCCAGACGCTGGCCCGGCCCTACCCAAAGACTGGCCCATTTCAGTTTGGAGCCTCCCAGCGCTGTTCGATTGGGCCTCGAGGGCAACTGCTCCCTTCACTCAGCCCCCGGGCTCCCTGCGGGGGTGCTGACTGAGCCACTGCCCTGGGCTGTGCCAGGCCCTCCTCCCGCCCTCGGGGTCAGGATCTGAAACACTGGAGTCCGGGGGCCCTGGGTCAGCCCAGCCAGGTGTCCTGCCCACCTGAGTGCCTGTCTCCCTAAGTCACCAGACTCGGGCCCCGGCCCCGCCACCTCCCTTGTCCGTATACATGGAATGCCACGTGGGGCTGGCCTTGGGTGGGGGGGCTGGGCTCAGTGAGGAAGCGGTGGTCGTGGCGGCCACCAGCCCAGTGACTGACTGTCTCCTTCCTGCTTTTCCAGGCTGACCAGCTTACTGAGGAGCAGATTGCAGGTGAGATTGCCTACCCCACCCACCCCACACCCCACCTCAGGAAGGCGTCCCCAGCCCAGCCTTACTCTGGCCAGGGGTAACGTCTGATGGATGAAGTCGTGTGTCCCCTATGCCACCTAGTGCTACGCTTGGTGCTCAGAAGGTGGATGACAGGTGTGGGAGACTGCCCCGGTGCCCCGGTGACGCCTGACCCTGCAGTCCCGAGGCAGGCACTAAACCAGCCCCCAAAGCTGCGTCCTCTCCCCGGCTGCCAGGCCTCCGGGCCTGCTAGTCGGTGGCTGCCAGGTGCAGCCGCTCTCTGTCCTGGCTCCTCCTCCCACCCCGCACTTCCCCACACCAGCCCTCCCCTCGGCAGGTGCTCACACTCACCAACTCGCATCCCCCCACCCTGGGTCTCTGTGTGGGCAGCGACTTCTCTTCTCCTCGGTCCCGGTTCACTTGCCACCGTAGAGAGGCTGTCCCTCTCTCCTTGTCAGGCAGACCCACCCTTCCTCTGCCCTGTGATTCTGTCTGTGGCCTCTGAGCCGTTCCTGGCGTCCCTGCCCACTCCACCCCTGGCACGGGCCGCACGGGCCTGGGGCTCGGGCTCGGTGTTTGCTGGTCCCTGCTGAGCTGCCAGAGCCCGGAGCCTGGCGGGCTCGTGGGTGCTCCGTCAGCTTTTGTGGGCTACATGAACCAACAAAGGAACTTTTGCACGCCTGCCAGTAAACCATAAGGAACCCGCGGGTCCCATCTGACTCATTTTTGTAATGTGTCGGAGAGGTCTGCACACCTTTGGGACCGCTGGGTGACTGAGTGGGGTTCTGGGCCGCCCGCACCCTGGACCGAGGTGCCCGAGGAGAGACCGGCCCTCGGTCACCTCCACAGCCCCGGGCCAACACAGAGCAGGTGGGAGCAGGGGTTCAGAGCGGGGCCTCGGCCCCAGCGGCTGCCCACACGGCAACACTGCTCTCTTCGTGGGGCCGCGTGACGAGCACTGGACACCCAGTGGGTGGAGGTGGGAGGGGGCTTGCCTTCTCTCCTCCCCCGTCCCCCTGCACGTAGAGTCATGCTTTTAGCTTCTCAGCTTTGACCCCAGGTGGCTATGGAGACCCACTGAGGCAAGCCCGAGAACTGCCTTGTTGTTTAGTGATCGTGAGTTCAGGGTACGCACGTGACCCCCTCCTTCTCCCCACCCCCTGAACAACAAGGGAGGTGCCCGCATCCCTAAGGGGACCCCTGCTGTCTCCCCAGGGCCCAGAGGCACAGGGCACAGCTCCTCCCACTGCACCTGCCACCCACAGCCCGACTCTGACCTCGAGTAACACACGCTCCCCGCCCTGTTCCCATTAGCACACTGTCCCCCACCTCACCCCAGCCCACACCCTCTGGGAATAGGCTGCTGGGCATCTGCTCTCCGAGGGTTTGGGGGTAGAGAGCGCCGGATGCCAAAACGGGCCTGGTGGGAGGGCAGGGCCACGTGCTCCTCTCCCTCGCCTGACACGTCCCCAGCTGTGGCCCTCCCACTCGGTACCACTAGCTCCTCATCCTCCTGGCTTGGCAGCCATCCCCTCTCCTGCCATCCCCCCACCCACCCCACGCACCGTCCGTCAGCCGAGCTCTGCTGCCGGCCACCCCCACACTGCACACAGCCGCTCGCTCCTCTGGAAGCTGGTAGCGGTCCCAGGGAACAGGCTGGCGGTGCCGGTGAGGAGGGACGCAGTGCCAGCCAAAGGCCTTCTGCAGCCGCCCCTCCTCCTCCGCTTCCCTCCCCTCCCCCCAGCCAGTTGACCTTGGCTGGCATACTTTAGATGGAGACTTCTCTTGGCTCTCATCCACTCCATGACATTGGTCCATTTCATCATTTGAGGAAGAGGCCAAGTCCAGGGACAAAAAAGAAATGTAGAATCATCTAAGGACAGTTTAGCTCGTTCCCCTCTGCCCTCCCTGAGCGAGGTTGGCCCGACCGGTCGCTGTGCCTGGCTCAGCGGAGGTGCTCGCTGAAGGAGGGAAGGGGCCGCCCCAAGTCTGGGAGCAACACCTGGACCCGAGGTCCAGCTCTGGTGTCTTGAGGGGCGCCTGGCCCTCGGCCTTCCTGCAGGAGTCGGCACCCGAGTCAGGGTTTCCCCGAGGTCCTGGCCTCTGACTCGTTCTCTTTCTTCCTCCAGAATTCAAGGAGGCCTTCTCCCTTTTTGACAAGGATGGAGATGGCACTATCACCACCAAGGAGCTGGGGACAGTCATGAGGTCCCTGGGACAGAACCCCACCGAAGCAGAGCTGCAGGACATGATCAACGAGGTGGACGCAGATGGTGAGCCCCACTCCCAGGCACCCCTGGGCGTAGGGAGCCTTCCTCGGGGCAGTGGGGGTCGCTCCCGGGGCCCGGGCCAGGGGTGTTCCCAACTCCCTCTCCCCTTCCAGGGAACGGGACCATCGACTTCCCGGAGTTCTTGACCATGATGGCCAGAAAGATGAAGGACACGGACAGCGAGGAGGAGATCCGAGAGGCCTTCCGTGTCTTTGACAAGGTAAGCGGTCCTTCCAGAGTGGCTCTCGGACTCGGGCCGAGGGACAGCGGGCCGGGCTCCGGGACACAGAGTCCGCACTGCCTGGGTCCCGTGCCAGCCCCACTGCCAACTCACGCAGCAGCGCCAGGGAGCCCCTCCTCCGCCCAGTCAGGGTGACAGGCAGTCCTGCCCCGCCGCCCTCTGCCACCGCCCCCCAGGGAGGCGCAGGGGACTGCCTCGAGCTCAGAGCCCGTGCCTGTCCCGCTCACCAGGACGGCAACGGCTACATCAGCGCGGCGGAGCTGCGCCACGTCATGACGAACCTGGGCGAGAAGCTGACCGACGAGGAAGTAGACGAGATGATCCGAGAGGCCGACATCGACGGGGACGGCCAGGTCAACTACGAAGGTGAGCTGGCGCAGCCTCGCTCTGTGGGACGGGCCCGGGCCCCCGCGGAGGGGAGGGCCACCCTCGGCCCAGCCCCACCCCGCCCCCGGCCGACCTCTGCTCCCCGCTTTTCTTCCAGAGTTTGTACAGATGATGACCGCGAAGTGAAGACCGGGCAGCTGGCGATGCCCGTTCTCTTGGTTTCTCTCTCCTCGCGCGCACACTCTCTTCGACACTCCCCTGCGTTCCGGTTCTAGCAAACACCCGTCGGTTGACTGAGAATCTGATAAAGCCACAAAGGATTTGTCCCGTGCTGCATGACTGCTCTCCCTCCCGCCCTCTCTCCCAGTCCCCTTCCACGCCCTCCCACTGGCCTCTGCAAGGGCCTGAGGCGTTTATGATACGAGCCCCCTCCCCTTGGGGGCGCCTCTGCCCTCCTCCGCCAGCCCAGGCATCTCTCCTCTGTTTCGGTCTGTTCCCTTCCATTTGTCATCTTATTTGGGGTGCTGGGGTGGCTGCCAGCCCTGCCCGGGACCCGCTAAGGAGGAGGCGAGGCCTCGCCCAGGCAGGAGAGTGCGCCTTTGTGGGCGCATGCAGCCAGCCCTGCGGTTCCGGGTGCAGATCCCAGCAGCCTTCAGGGCAGGGGGCCGAGAGAGGTTCTGGAAGGACTGAGGCTTGTGGTGTTGGCTGGGTGTGGCCCTGGAGGGGGTCGACGGGCCAGGGAGTCTTGGAAGCTGGCATTCTTTTCCCACTTGAGGGGCCAACTCATGGCGGGGGCAGACAGAGTGGACAGCACCCAGGCCCCGCTGGCTGCTGTCCAGAATCCTCCAATTGGCCTCCTGACACCGGGCTGGTGGGGGCCGCCCAGTCGGCCACGCCGCAGACCGGACCTGCCCTGCCCCTAAAGCACTCTCCAGCTGTTGTGTAAATACTTGGTGCTAACATCCCATGCCGCCCCCTCATGACACCGCCCACCCGCATCACCGTCCCCTCGTGGGAACCGGTGTGGGGATGGTCGCTTTGTAATGTGCTGGTTATCCTGTTGGGTTCCCCCCCCCCCCTTTACGCCCCTGAAAACTTTAATTTTTGTCAGAACCATGCCGGGCTAGCTGAAGGGTGGAGAGAGGGAAGATGCGCCCGCCACACCCTCGGGAGAAAACGCCCGCAATAAACAGTCTCGGCGGCCGCAGCCGGCCCTCCCGCTTCTCCGAGATGACTCGGCAGGCCCCTCGCACCCACACCGCACCCACACCGCGCTGTCTGTGCCCTCCTGCCCCGCCTCCCCCGCCCACCTGCCTGCCCCCACACCCTCCCCCAGCGGAGAGCATGATCCGTGACCCTGCTTCTGACTTCCGCCTCTGGGACAAGCAAGTCGATGTGGGCAGTTCGGTCGTCTGGGTTTTGTTTTGTTTTTCTTCTTTTCCCTTTTTCTGTTCATTTCATCTGCCCCCCGCCCCCACTCCCAGGTCGATCAAGTGGCTTTTCCTGCCCAGCTTTGAGAGTCTCTTCTCGTCCACCCTCTGGCACCCGCCTCCAGGGGAGGGGAGGGGAGGGAGGGACGGGACATGGGAGACCCAGCCGAGAGCTGGGGGTAAGGGCAGGTAGGCGTGAAGCTGTGGACGTATTCGGAGTGTTTTGGTTTTGGTTTTATTTGGTTCTTTTTTTTAAACCGGGCAATATTGTGTTCAGTTCAAGCTGTGAAGAAAAATATATATCAATGTTTTCCAATAAAATACAGTGACTACCTGATTGGCTCTGGCCTTCTTGGTTTCTGGGCCTGGGACCCTGCAGCCCAGTCAGTGCAGCCGAGTCAGCACCTGTGGACCAGAGTTCAGCTCTTGGCCCGAGCTCACTGCCGTGGGGGTGCATGTGTGTGCCAGACACCAGCCCACCCTTGTGACCGGGGGGGGGGGGTATCAGTCAGACCCTGTGGGGGGGTTTCTCTGCAGGGTGCTCTGGGGGAGCGGGGGCATTCACTGAAGGAGACGATGTCAGGGGGCCTAAGCATGCCACCTGGCCCGGGGCTCCTGCGGGGAGGGCCCAGGCCTGAAGGAGGAGTGAAGCAGAAAGCCCAGCGCACCTGCGGACCACACAGAGCTCGGAGGTGACGGGTGTGAAGAAGCCTGTGGGCCCGCCGTGCCACAGGGGAGGGTGTAACGGCCCCGCCCCTGGTGCGAATGCCGTCCACTCCCGTGTGGGCGCAGGGGGTGAGCCCTTCGTAAGCACCTTTGCCTGGCCGTGGGAGGGCGGACAGGCCTGCGGGGCCCAGCGTCGGGGCCTTCTTTGTGGCAGAGATTGGCCTGGGCTGGGTCTGCCTGCTGTGAGCCCGTCACCTGAGCCCCAGCTTCTTTGCCCCCTTTTCTTAAAAAAGCTTACTTAAAGATCTTATTTTTAGAGGGGTAAGGAGGGAGAAAGGGAGGGAAACAAGCATGTGTAAGAGACACATCACTGACCAGTTGCCTCTCATGCACCCCCTGCTGGGGACCTGGCCTGCAGCCTAGGCGTGTGCTCTGAGTGGGATTCAAACTGGCGACCCTTCGGTCCACAGGCCAGTGCTCAACCCACTAAACCAGATTTTCCCCCTTTGCTGCCCTCCAGTTGTGGTCTGGTTCTTGCTACAGTAAGACAGTATCAATGGCTAAGAGCTCAGGGTCCAAGCTGACCACTGGCTCCAGCACTGAGCTGCCTCCTTGGCCGCAGGCAGATGACTCGTCCCCAGACCCCAGTGTCCCATCTATAAAATGGGGGTGTCATCCATACACCAAAAGGCTGTGGGTTCGATACCCGGTCAGGGCACATATGGGAGACCACCAATTGACGTTTCTCATAGCAACGTTTGTCTCTACAATCCACCCATACCCTCGGGGGGCACTGAGAGAAATGGGGGTATGAGAGGCAGCGCCCACCTTCCGGTGTCCAGCCGAGGAATGAGGAGCCTCGGGACCAGGCCTGGGCGTGGCGAGCGCCCGGCCCCCGTGCTCTGATCTGCCTGCCGTGCTGCCTGCCTCCCGGGCTCTGCTCAGAACGGCATCACCGGCCCCGTCAGGTCCTCCAAGTGGCATTTTGAGCTGGACGCCATCAGTCCCCATTCCGCAGCGTAGGAAACGGCTCCAGAGCAGGGAAGAGACTCCACCAAAGTTATGAAGTCAAAAGTAGCAGGGCTGGCATTTGAACCACGTCAGACCCCAAGGAGTTCATGCTCAGCTGCCCAGTTTTAGAGTCAAGGGTCATTTTATTTTTTTAATAATTTTATTTAGTTATTTTTCAAGTACAGTTTTTTGTCTATTTCTCCCAGCCCAGCCCCCCCGCCCCGTCTCCCCACCTCCCTCCCATTTCCACCCCCCTTAGTTCTCGTCCCTGTGTCCTTCCTATTTGTTCCTCCAAATCAAGGGCCATTTTAAAACAAGGATGGGCCTTCTGGCCACGATGGAGGCGCAAGCGGACACCCTGTGGCTCCTCGCACAACCAAAAGGACAATTTAAAAACAAAAACAACCAGAACTGAGACTTCCGCCAAGATGGAGGCATAGGTGGATGTGCCGTGCCTTCTCACACAACCAAGTTTAGAGACAACTAAATATTAGCAACAAAAAACACAGCCAGAACACGGAAAATTGAACTTTTCGGAAGTCCGTTAACAACAAATTCTTCAGCCTGACCGGTAAGGGGCGAAACCAGCGGCTGGTGAAGCAGGATTGCACAGGAGGTCTCGGTCAGACGGACTCAGGCGCGGAATCCAGGCGCGGAATCCAGACGCGGAATCCAGGCGCAGGGTTGGACCTAGTGAGCGACCAAGCGAGCCACCAGGCGAGCGACTGCGGGGGAGACAGCGGGGGGAGCGGGGCTGCGTGTTGACTGTGGTCGCGCATTTGTGCGTGGGCGGACAGGCGAGGGAGTGGGCGGTTGGACCGGGCCAGGCGGGTCCCCACGGCAAGCGGCAGTGGAGGGCGCCGCCATTTCCCCGCTCTGACCACGCCCCCACATACAGCGTCACAACCCAGCGACCTGGGAGTCCAAGGCACCGCTTCTCACACTTAAAGGGCCAGAACAGACCAAAAATGTCCCAGGAAGACCTCAAAGCCCCAGAGCCTATAAATCTAAGTGATGAAGAAATAGCAAAACTCTCAGACGCACAGTTTAAAACACTGGTCATCAGGATCCTCACAGAACTGGTTGATTATACCGACAAATTAGACAAATATATGAAGGCGAAACTAATTGAAATGAATGGAATTGCACAGGACACCAATAGCAATGAAAAGGAAACTGGGACTCAAATCAAGGGAGTGGACCAGAAGAAAGCAAATAATGGCCAAACAGAAAAGAGTCAAGAAGCAAGAATTCAAAGAAATGAGGAGAGTCTTAGGAACCTCCAGGACATCTTTAAACGCTCCAACATCCGAATTATAGGGGTACCAGAAGGGGGAAAGGCACAGCCACCAGTGGAAAACTTATTTGAACAAATAATAAAGGAGAATTTCCCCAATCTGGCAAAGGAAATAGACTTCCAAGCGATCCAGGAAGCTCAGAGAGTCCCAAAGAAGTTGGACCCAAGAAGGAACACACCAAGGCACATCATCATTACATTAGTCAAGATTAAAATGAAGGAGAGAATCCTAGAAGCAGAAAGAGATAAGGGGACAGTCACCTACAAAGGAGTCCCCATCAGACTGTCAGCAGATTTCTCAAAAGAGACCTTACAGGCAAGAAGGGGCTGGAAAGAGGTATTCCAAGTCATGAAATCCAAAGACCTACAACCAAGATTGCTCTATCCAGCAAAACTTTCATTTAGAATGGAAGGACAGATAAGGTGCTTCTCAGATAAGATCAAATTCAAGGAGTTCATCATCACCAAGCCCTTATTATATGAAATGTTAAAGGGCCTTATCTAAGAAAAAGAAGTTAAAGAAACATGAACAGTGAAAGGACAACAAACTCACAGTTATTAACAACCACACCTAAAACAAAAGCAAACTAAAAGGACAGCTAGATCAGGAGTGGAAACATAGAAATGAAGATCTCAAGGAGGGTTAGCAACAGGGGAGTGGGAGGAGGAGAAGGGGGGAGAAGGTACAGAAAATAAGTAGCATAGACAGTAGATAGAAAATAGATGGGGGGGGCAAGAATAGCATGGGAAGTATAGAATCTAAAGGAATTGAGACACATGGTCATAAACTAAAGGGGGGGTAATGGTGGTGATGGGGGGTAGGGTGGAGGGGAGTGAAGGGGGGAATAGAACAACTGTAACAGCATAATCAATAAAAAAATATAAAAAATTAAAAAAAAAAAAACCAACCAGAACTGACAGCAAATTGAACCGTGTGGAAGTCCAACATCCAAGGAGTTAAAGGAGAAATACTCATCCTGACTGGTAGGAGCGGCAAGGTGGTGGCTGGCAGACCCAGTGAGGTGGTGGATTGTGCAGCGGGACGTGCAAGGCAGCAGCGGGCGGACCGGCCAGGGAGTGGCTAGCAGACCAGGTGGTCCCACATTCACACACAGATAAACCAGGAGAAACAACTGAGGAGCAAAACAGACTTCACAACCCAGGACTCCTGCACGTGGAAATAAAGCCTCAAACCACTGACTGAAAACACTTGTGGGAATTGAGGCAGCTGGAGAGACTCCCAGCCTCATAGGAGAGTTTGTTGGAGAGACCCACAGGGTCCTAGAACATGCACAAATCCACCCACCCAGAAATCAGCACCAGAAAGGCCCAATTTGCTTGTGGGAAGCAGGGGAAGTGATTGAAAGCTGGCAGAGAGCGGAGCAAGCGCCATTGTTCCCTCCTGACCCCTCCCCCACAAATCGCGGCACAACCCAGTGATGGGGGGGTTTGCCCCACCCTGGTGATACCTAAGGCTCCGCCCCTCACTACATGACAGGTGCAGCAAGACCAAAAAAACCGGCCCAAATGAAAGAACTGATCAAACCTCCAGAAAAAATACAACTAAGCAATGAAGAGGTAGCCAACCTCTCAGACGCACAGTGCAAAACACTGATGATCAGGATGCTCACAGAATTGGTGGAATTTGGTTGCAAATTAGATGAAAAAATGAAGGCGACACTAAGTGAAATAAAGGAAAATGTACAGGGAACCAATAGTGATGGGAAGGAAACGGACTCAAATCAACAATGTGAAGGAAGAAAGAAACATCTAACCAGAAAAGAATGAAGAAACAAGAATTCAAAAAAATGAGGAAAGGCCCTGGCTGGTGTAACTCAGTGGATTGAGCTCGGGCCTGCGAACCAAAGGATCCTGGTTCAGTTCCCAGTCAGGGCACGTGCCTGGGTTGCGGGCCAGTTCCCAGCAGGGGGGGAACGAGAGGCAACCACACATTGATGTTTCTCTCCCTCTCTCCTTCCCTTCCCCTCCAAAGATAAATAAATAAAATCTTTTTTAAAAAATGAGGAAAGGCTTAGGAACCTCCAGGATGTCTTCAAATGTTCCAACATATGAACTATGGGGGTACCAAAAAGGGGAAGAGGAAGAACAAGTGGAAAACTTATGTGAACAAATAATAAAGAAGAACTTCCCCAGTCTAGCAAAGGAAATAGACTTCCAGGAAGTCCAGGAAGCTCAGAGAGTCCCAAAAAAGAAGGTGGACCCAAGGAGGAACACACCAAGGCCTATCATAATTATATTACCCAAGATTAAAATGAAGGAGAGAATCCTAGAAGCAGCAAGAGATAAAGACACAGTCACCTAGAAAGGAGTTCCCATCAAACTGTCAGCTGACTTCTCAAAAGAGACCTTACAGGCAAGAAGGGGCTGGAAAGAAGTATTCCAAGTCATGAAATCCAAAGACCTATATCCAAGATGGCTCTATCCACCAAAGCTTTCATTTAGAATGGAAGGGCAGATAAAGTACTTCCCAGATAAGGTCAAGTTAAAGGACTTCATCATCACCAAGCCCTTATTGTATGAAATATTAAAGGGACTTAGGAAAAAGAAGATCAAAACTATGAACAGTAAAATGACAACAAACTCACAGTTATTAACAACCACACCTAAACAAAAACAAAAGCAAACTAAGCAAACAACTAGAACAGGAACAGAACCATAGAAATGGAGATCACATGGAGGGTTAGCAACAGGGGAGTAGGAGGAGGAGAGGGGGGAAAAGTTTCAGAGAATAAGTAGCATAGATGGTGGGTAGAAAATAGATGGGGGGGCGGGTAAGAATAGGATAGAAAATGTAGAAGCCAAAGAACTTATATACATGACCCATGGACATGAACTAAAGGGGGGAAATGTGGGTGGGAGAGGGTGTGCAGGGCTGAGGGGAGTGAAGGGGGGGAATGGGACAACTGTAATAGCATAATCAATAAAATATATTTTTAAACAAATAAATAAAACAAAGATGACTTTGGGGAGACCCGAGATAGCGCCAGGAGGAAGGCTGGAGTCACCGGGGTGCGGCCTGAGATGGGAGCCGCCCTCGAGCAGCCGGGAGACCTGTGGAAGTCTGGCCTCGAACTTGAGAGAAGACAGGCTTTGGCGACCCACAGAAGTGGGCTCACAGTGGCGAGTCTGGGCTCACTGAGCCTCAGGGGCCTGCCAGCCCTGGGACAGTGACCTCATCTCTCTGGGCCTCAGTCTGTGAGTGCAAAGGGAAGAGTAACAATGATCTGTAAAAGGAGGACCAGAAAAAATGCTGCGCCGACACCTTTTAGGCATCTTATTTATCCTCACGCCGGCCAGGTTGAGCCCTCACGAGACGCACCTGAGTGCGGTGGGCAGGGAGGCCTGAGATCCCGAGGTCTGACGGAGCAGGACGAAGGCCCAGGCAGGCAAAGCACCTTGCACCGCTGCCAGGAAGTGGCTGAGCCTGGTCTCGAAACCCTGGACAGTTTCGGTCCCAGGGTGCACAGATTCCCGCTGTCTCCCTTTTCCCCCTCGGGTCTGTGTTTTGAAAGAATTTTACTCCCAGACAGGCTACAGTGTTTTCCTTTAGGATTTTATTTATTGATTTTAATAGAGAAGAGATGGGAAAGAGAAAGAGAAGGAGAGAAACATCAATGTGTGGTTAACTCTTGAGCACCCCTCTCCCGAGGACCTGGCCTGCAACCCAGGCGTGTGCCCCGACTGGGAATCCAACCAGTGACCCTTTGGTTCAGAGGCCGGCACTGAATCCACTGAGCCACACCAGCCAGGGCCAGGCTGCATTATTCAACGAGCATGACCTCCCCCTCTTTTTGTAAACCAAAGACACAGAGGGGTGGCACTCGGAGCTTCTCATGGACACGGGGCAGGCACGCAGGAGAGCCAGCTGCACCCCACAGCAGAGAGGCGGTGGCAATCATCCCCAATTCAGGCCCACAGATCCGCGGTACCAGCCCAAAGCCTGTCCTGACAAGGTGACCAGACAGGGCACACCAGGAGGTGCCCAACCAGTGCCCAAGTGCACAGAGTCCAAGTCTCCCTCACTTCCCAGAGAGCCGGGGCCCCCATCTGGACCCGTGGCTCTAGGGCCACTTCTGAGTGCCACTCCCAGTGTGACCAGCAGGTGGCGCAATGACTACAGAAGTTTTCCACAGCGTGTGTGTGTGTGTGTGTGTGTGTGTGTGTGTGTGTGTGTGAGAGAGAGAGAGAGAGAGAGAGAGAGAGAGAGAGAGAGACTCCCTGCTGTGGGTCAGGCCCAAAGCTAGGAAGACCGAAATGAATCGAGTGTCCTTAGGGGAGACACATGCATTCCGAGTGTGTCACATACTGACCCCCGACCGAGGACCAGGGCTGGTGCCTTGCATGTGTGCTCACAGATCCTGCACCGTGTTTTTGCAATACACGTTGCAGCTTGTAACTTTGTCTTTTTTGCTGCTTTTTGTAATACACACTTCCATGATTATTCAATGGTCCCCCCACCGCACTGTGAGCGAGCAAGGGCCCATGGCATCCTCGGGCCCAGAGCAGGCTCAAGGGAACCTGTGTTGAATCAGTGAGTAAGAAGCTAAATAAGGGACGCACTGGAGGCCAGAGTCGGAGCCGTGACCATGACAGAAATCCTCGCCTCGGCTCACTTTCTTCCCGTCCTCAGGTCCTGGCTCAGCCGTCCCCTCCTCCCAGAAGCCCTCCCTGATTTCCCTCCAGGTATCTCCTCCCATCCCCCAGTCCTGCCCACTTGACTGCGAGACCCAGGAAGGCAGGGCAGGGCTCTCTTTGCCACCGCCGCGTCCCCAGCACCACAGGGACAAGACCCGCCGTGGAGCCAGCTCTCCACAAGAGCCTGCTGAGCGAGTAATGGAGTGTCTGGGCCAGGCAGGCCTCAGTGGGTGCCACCTCGGAGCAGTGCCAGCGAGTGTGCCTGAGGCAGGAGCCACAACGTCTCTGAGGAGGAGGGGCTTGGGCGGGACCTTGCAGGGCCAGGGTGCCTTTGACTGTTCCAGGAAGGATGAGCTCACTGAGCGGAGAGGTGGAGGCCGAAAGGTCCCAGGCTCCGTGGGGAAACCTGGGCTGTGTGATGCGGCCGAGCGGAGCCAGTGGGAGTTGGCCCTTGGCCTCCAGGCCGTGGGAGCCCTCGAACTTGGCAAGTGGGGGACTGACCACTCAGAACCTTCCAGGACAGGACCTTCACAGCTAGTGGGGAGGATACCCGGGCAGCAGGGTCAGGACACAACCAGGAGACGAGTTCCCAAACCACGCGGGAGCGGGAATTGTTTAAAACCCCTAATCTGAAAGGTGGCGCGGACATCTCGGCCAGAGGTGGTGGTGGGGGGTCCTTAGGATATAGAGCCTGGGGTCGGGGGATAAGAGCTGGCAGAAAACCAGCTTCAAACCAGCTTCAACACTCACCCTCTCCCCTTCTTAAACCGCCTCTGAAAAGCAGGCACAATCATAGCATCCACCTCAGGCCAGGCTGCGGTCGGTGGGGGCAAGTGTGCGGGCCTTTGGCAGGGCTCGGAGCAGGCCCGCCTTCGGGGGGGGCACAGATACAAGGCAAGGGTCCCCCCCCCCCCCCCGGACAGGCAGGCCCCTGTCTCCTCCCCCACCCTCTGCAACCCGTCCACCCCACTCCTCCCCCACCTCCCTCCAACGGTCCCTTGGGGTGGGTTCCCACTGAGTCTGGCCTGGACCTAGGGACAAAGACCGGACCCCACCGGAGGCTTCTTCAACCCCGTTTTTGGTTTTTGTACCAAGTCATCTTTATTGTTAAGTCCGAACAGTGCGCTGTTTCTACAAGCTCTCAATACTTTTTTTTCAGTATTACATGTTTTTTTTCTTTTTTAAAGAATTTATTTATTTTTCGGAGAAAGGGGGAGGAAAGGAGACAGGAAGAGAAACATCAGTGTGTGGTTGCCCCTTGCACGCCCCTAATTGGGGCCTGCAACCCAGGCATGTGCCCTGACTGGGAATCGAACCAACGACACTTAGGTTCACAGGCCCGTGCTCAATCCACTGAGCTACACCAGCCAGGTTTTTTACTATTTTTTTTAAAGATCTTATTTATTTACTTTTATAGAGAGAGGGAGAAAGAGAGGGAGAGAAACATCAGTGTGCAAGAGATACATCAATCAGCTGCCTCTCTCACATCCCCAACAGGAGACCTGTCCCACAACCCAGGCATGTGCCCTGACTGGGAATCAAACCGGTGATCCTTTGGTTCACAGACCGGCGCTCAATCCACTGAGCTACACCAGCCAGGGCTGTATCACATGGGGTTTTTTTTTTTTTACATTATTGTGGTAAAACTCCCATCACGTAGAAGCTGACGTTTTAAACACCTTCAAGCACACACTTCAGAGACATTCAGTCACTCACAGTGTTATGCAACCGTCACTGTCCAGAACAGCCTCGTCACCCCAGAAGGAGACGACAAACCCAGTACGCCACGCTCTGGGTCTGTGCATGACTCGCCCAGACACCCCTTGATCCTCTGAAACCTGCCTGGAAACACGGAGTCAAAAAAGTCCCGGCAGTGGAGCAAAGCACCGCGTTCTTGCCGCGCTGCATCCGCCCAGGCAGTGGAGAACGAGGGTAGCAGCGCCACCACAGCAGCAACACCAGCAGGGTTTCTCGTAGGCCCTGCCTCGGGGCCCTGGGACACATTGCTTTTCAGGGGGGATCCCATCACCCTCAGCACAACCCCTGGAAGCGAAGCACTAGGTTAGGATGGCTCTTCTGCACAAAAGGAAACCGGGGAACAGAGGCGACGTCGCGGGCCCGACAGGTGAGCTGGACTCTGGAGAGCAGCTCCCCGCTCCGCTGTGTGTCCTAGGGCTGGTCACCGCCTTCTCTGGGCCTGGATTCAGGCCTCTGTGGAAAAGCTCTGCTAGCAGGCTGAAGTGAGAGGGTGCATCTCACACGGAGGAGGACTGGCTGATGGTAGCTGCCGTTGCAGACTCTCACCGCCCCCCCCCCCCCCCCCGCCCCGCCCCGCCCCGCCCATTCCCAGGTTTGGATGTACTGGTTTCATCCAGGAGCAAGTGAGAAAGGGGAACTGGGGCCCGGGGTGGGGAGGCGTTTTCCCATCACCCCTCTCGAGGCCCTGGGCACACTTTCTTTCACGCCTTCCAGCTGCCTGGCTCCTTCCCAAGCCCCTCCACTCTGGGCGGGCAGGGGCTGGCAACGAGGAGAAGGAGGAGGGGAAGGCTGAAAATCACCCAGCAGAGTCCAGGGTGGGGCGGGGACCGGTCTGTGTCCCCAGTACCTGGTGGAGTCAGCGACCACTATTTGTTGATTGGATGAATGTATGAAATCTTGGGGGGGGGGGCGTCCAAGGACAGGTGTGGTGAGGTCAGGCTGTGTCTGGAGGCAGCTTATTTGGGGACGGGCACAGGACTTAGGCCTGGGTTCTTGGGCTGTCCCTGGGATTTGACCCCTGACACCCATACCCACAGTGCAAGTCTTATAACCACCAAGCCACACCCCGTTTCCTGGGTGCACGCCCAGCAGTGTGGGCCGCGGCTCCCCTTCCTTGGGCCTCTCCTGGGGGGGCCAGAGCTCCCAGGGTTGAAGGGCGTTCAGAAGCAAGGGGATGCCGGGAGTCCCTGGCTCCCATGGGGCAGAGAGGGGACGGCTCTTGGAATGGCTGGGGAGAGGGCAGGCCCGTCCCCTGGGGGCTGGGGCACCCTGAGGGGCGGGGGTCCACGCGGGAGCACTGGCCCTCCCAGACCCGGGTGCACGGGAGCTCTGGGAACTCTCCCACCTCCCAAATATTTAGACAGTGAGATGGATGGGCCGAGGGCCGAGCCAGGCCAGCCAGGCCATCGGTTATTTTGAGAGAACTGTTCTTGCACTCCAGCATAAATGTTCCCTCTCTCCCTCCCTTTCCTCCCGGAGCCTGGCGTGGCCACCCTGGTTGCGGTGGGGGAAGAAATAGCAGCTGATCGCCCCCTGAAGGCTGGGGTTCAAGGTTCTGGCAGGGCAGGGCTCCAGGATCCTTCACTCTGCTTGTCCACCTGCAGCCATCAGCCTTGTCCCCGATTGTCTGACTCCTGTCCAGAAGACAGGGCAGGAGGTCGTGGGACAGCCTAAGATGTCAGCAGGCTGCGGTGGACCCCACTGTGGACGGAGCTCCCACGGTGCTGCCGGAAGGCTGTGCAGGAGGCAGGCGTGCCCCTTGCGCCTTGCCCCAGGCTGACAAAGGCACCCAGCTCCCCTCCTTCCCCCCGAGAGTGGCGGGGGCCCTCGGGTCCTTGCTCCGTGAGGCAGGCTGGGCGACGGGTGTCAGCGAGCGGCCGTGGGCAGGCCTGGGGCAGAGGCAGCAGAGCCAGAGTTTGAGGCGCTGGAAGACGGCCTTGCGGAAGAGGATGAAGACCCAGGGGTCCAGGATGGGGTTGAAGGCGTTGAAGCGGAAGGCGAGCAGGTCCCCCATCTCACTGGTGTCTGGGGCGATGGCCTGGGTGAAGCCGCGGATCTGAGGGCAGGGGCAGGGTGTCGAGGAGCGCCCACCTCCCCACCCACCCTGCCCTCATTCCCCTTCACCCACTTGGTGGCTGCAGGAATAGGGAGGGGTGGCCGGGCAGAAGGGGAAGGAAATAAGATAAGATGAAAACGAAGAACGTGCATCCGGAGAACGGAGGCCTGGGAGGGGCTGTGTGGGGGCATCTGGGGCTGCGTGTCTGTCTGTCCACAGCTTCCATTCCCTGAGTCATCCATGACCCGCCCCCCCAAAGTTTTGACGATTCTCAAATTGCACCCAGCCTTGATTTGACAGAGAGAAACTGAGGCCCAGAGTACAGATGGGGTGAGTGGGTGCCACAGCCCCGGGGTCCACCCCGCTTCGGTTCTGGACGGGCTGAGTGGGCTCCTGGAGGAAAGGGGAGGGGCCAGGAGGGTCCGCGGGAAAACTGAGGGCGGGGCTGGGGGTGGGGGGCGAGCCTGGATGTCTGGGGGCGGGGGGGGGGGGGCCTCACAATCTGGACCAAAGGCTCCTGAGGTCCAGACCCAACTGGGCACCACCGTGCCTGAGTGACATCGCCCCTCCTCTGTAAGTAGGGTGACAAGAAAGGAACTTTGTCCTGTTTCTTGATAAATGCAGAATGGGTGTGTAGGTCATGTCGAAGAGGATCTGAGAAAGGATTTGTAAACCACGGAGCAAGTGCCGGATGAACGGTGGCTCCTGATGCCATTAAGGGGTAGAGGACAACTGGGCGCGCATTTGACCCTGTCGGGGACAGGGGAGGGGGTATTCCAGGGGTCAGGAGGAGTCCAAGGGAGAAGCCAATGAGCAGCCACCTCTCTAGCCAGCTAGCGGTTGTTGGGCAGTTGCCAAAGCCTCTGACCTCTTTGCGTCTCCGTACATGCGAAATGGACACACAGCTTCGCACAGAGCTGGGCGCTGCCCCTCCCCCCGCCGCCACCCCTCCCCCCACTCCCCGCACGTGCACCGCGCGGTGAAGGGGACTCACCGTGAGAGGCAGCGAGCACACGGCCATGGTGCCGGTCATGAGGGCCAGCAGGATCAGGTAGTCCACCTCGTCCTCGCCGGCCCCGTGCCTCTGCTGGCGGTACATGCGGCACAGGCTGAGCGTGACGGAGCCGTTGCACAGGACGATGGCGGCCACCAGCAGGGCCACGAGGCCGGCGTAGGCCAGCGAGAAGGCGCGTGCGCCCAGCTCGGCGGCGCGCAGGCGGATGAAGCACCAGCTGCCCGGGCAGTACTGCTGGTGCTGGCCCAGGCCCAGCAGGGGCAGGGAGCAGAAGAGGGCGCAGAAGGCGTAGACGGCGGGCAGCGCCAGGCGGGCGCAGCGCGGCCCGTCCAGCTGGGCGTACAGGTAGGGGTGGGTGAGCGCCAGGCAGCGCTCCACGGCCATGGCGAACAGGATGAGCGTGGAGGCCAGGCCGAAGAAGGTCATGGCGAAGGCGAAGGCGTCGCACAGCGCCGGGTGGCCCCGGGCCAGGCCCAGCAGCGAGCTGTTCCGGGCGTAGGCCACGAACACCACGGGGCTCAGGAAACACGTGCCCAGCAGGTCGGTGACGGCCAGCCCGGTGACCAGCACTGCGAAGGCGGACGGGCGAGACCGCCGCCGGGCCCCCAGGATGCCCAGGGCCAGCCCGTTGCCCACCACGCCGGCCACGAACATCAGCGTGCTGGTGGCCGGGCCCACCGAGTCCCGCACATACGTGAGGTTCCTGCACGAGTCCGCCATCCCGGCCCCCGGCCGCCGGCCTGGACGGGAGGGGCCCCGAGGGTGCCAGGGAGCTGCGAGAAGGCGCCGGTGCAGCGGCTCAGAAACCCTCCGCCAGCCGCACCCCCATGGTCCTCACCGCAGCCGGTGTCTCCGGGCCAACTCGCGGCTCTCCCGGTGTGTCCAGCTCCCTGTCCACGCTTCTCTCTCTCTCCCCCCTACTTCTTTCCTTCTCTCTCTGTTTCCTCTTTTCCTCTGCTCTTCCCTAGTTGTTCCCGTCTGTCTCTGTCTGTCCCCTCCCTCTCCCTCCTCCCCTGCCTCCCTCCTCCCCCCTCACCCCCCACGACTCTATACTCCCTTCCCTGCGCGTCTGCTGTGCCGCGGCCCCCTCCTCGCTGCACCTCGGCCACCTCTCACCATCGCTCCTGCCCTGCTCTCTCGGGTCTGGACTCTCGGTCTCTCTGTGTGTCAGCTTCTCCCCCTTCCCTCCCTCCTCCCTCCCTCCCTCCTCATCTTGCCTGCTCGCCCCAGCTTTTTCATTTCCTCTCTCTGCCCCGCCTTCCCTCCCCCGGCTTTCTCCAGAGGCCCCCTTGGCTACCTCCCGCCTTCCCTGGCACGCTCCTTCCGTCCCCCTGCCCAGCACATCTGTCTCCCGCCCTGCCTCCGCCCTTCCCTCATGGTCCCCATCACTGAGCCACCTGCCACCTCCCCGCACGCAGGTCCACCCTTCTCCCTGCACAGCATGTGCCAGTGGCCCCGGTGGGGGTCACTGAGTCACCACACGAGGAGTTTGGAGCTCACCAGTGGGGAGCAGGATGGACCCTGAGGAGCGCAGCTGACCAGTCCGAAGGCTGGCTGGGGGGTGGCCCCGGGGATCTATTCTGGGCTCCAGGCTCCAGGGTTAGGACACTGCCCAGGGATTGAGAAATGACCAGGAAATTCCTCCCTGATGCAGTGTTTTCCAAGCACCACTGAGATTTCTGTTCCCTGGGCAGGATTCACTCCTTCCAGAGGGCCGGGCCACAAGCAGGCTGTGCCGCAGGGAAGACTGCTGTCCCCGGCCGCAGGCTCGGCTTGAACTCGGAGCCCTGGGAAGGGGAGGGGGGCCTCCTTCCCTCTCGCTTCTCACCCCAGCTCTCCCAGGCCCCAGGCCAAGCTCTGGCGACCTTGACCTCCAGGAACAATATTTTAGCCTCAGACAGCCGTCCAGGGCTCCAACATCATGGTCACATTGCTTTCTCCCGCCCCTCCACAGGCCCACCCCTGCTGCTGGGACCCCGGGCCAGCGTGGTGCGCCTGTGGGTGCCGCCGGCCCTGTTCCCACGGAGCCCACGGTGCCCATGCAACTGCCTCCCCACCCACAAGGGCCGGACAGGACCTGGGAGACCCTCTCGGGCAGCCCTTATCCTTCAGGGAGGCAGTTTCGGTGTCGACGCTGCAAACTCAGGCTCTCTCGCCTTTATGTCCGGAGTTCCTGTCCCAATTCGACCACCCCCTTGCTTTGCGATGGCCTCGGGCAAGGATGGGAGCCGGTGCACCTCAGTTTCCTCATCTGTACAGTGGGGCGACAGCAGCTCCTCGGGCCTGCTGGCGGCCCTTGGCCGGCGGCCCATCCCAGAGCCCTCTGTCACGCGGAGAGAGCCTGTGCGGACGTGCCGTGTCCAAGGCGAGGAGCCCGGCTCCCGACTCCACGCGCCTTGGACTTCCCCTCTCTGTCCCCATGTCCCCCGTAACCACAACTCCCTCTCCCGGCTCCCTATCGCCATGCCCAGCTGGCAGCCCCAGCTCCCAGCAGGATGGATGCCCCGACTCCAGCTGCACCCAGGCCCCCGCGGGTGACCACGCAGCGCTGCTCTCAGGGTGCCCGTGGGTGCCGGCCTCAGCCCTCCCAGCCGCGCAGCCCCTCCCCGCAGAGGCCCTGCACTCACCAGACAGACCAGAGGGACCTTGGGAAGTTATATCATATTAATGAAGGATGACGCCTGGCAGACCAGCATCCTGCCTCTGCGTCTGGGGACTGGCGGGGTGGCGGGGTTGGGGGTGCTCTGCTTCCCGGAGCCTCCTCCTCCCCCTGGCGTCCTGTCCCCACCAGGGACTCAGGAAGTCTACTCTGCCCTCTTGCCCGGTGGCACCTTAGACAAGCCTCTGCCCTCCTCCAGGCCTCAGTTTCCCCATCCTCCTGAGGGCCCTGGCAGCCCCGGCATCGGTTCTGTGCTCGGGGCGCAGGTCTGGGTGGCGGTGGCTGTAACTCATTCCTAGTGGGAAGATTAAGGGTCCCCGGGGGTCTGTGCCAGTGTTAGACGCAGCTTCCGGGGGCCCCGGGGCCTCCTGTCCCGCTGTGGCCCCGGCCAGGCCCACAAAGGGTTGCTCTTTCACCCAGGTGCCTTGGAGTGGGAGGTCACCCTGCCAGCCAAGTTGGAGGTTAAGGGGGGGCTGGTTTCCGTAGCAGAGGGTGGGGAGGAACTGCTCCGGGTAGGTGAGTCAGCATCTGTCCCCACCCTCCACCCACTGCGAAGAGCAGGGTCCTCCTCACAGGGGTCCAGGGCAGTGGGGCAGCGGGCAGGAGGAGGACAGCAAGGACGGCTGGAAATGGACACACGGCAGGTGGGGAGGGGAGGGAGATGGGTGCCCAGGGGGCATGCTGGGGCCTGTGGACACGTGAGGTGAGTGGCATGCGTGGGCGGGCATTATTTTCTGTAGAGGCCTCTCTGTGCATCTCCTTGTGTGTCTGTGTCTTCCCTGGCGCGGGTGTCCCTCTGGGGCGGGTGCGCGTATGTTCGTACAGGCTGCGTTGGTACAGGTGTGGGGGGGAAAGGAGCGGGTTTGGAAACTCGCGCCCGCCCCTGGCCAGTCTGAGTGCCCACGCTGGAAAATGCCTTCCCCGGGCTGAGCCTCGGTGTCTTCACCCAATGCCTGCCCGCCCTCGTTGGGCGTCGTGCGGAGATTGGACACGGGCTTCACCCTCCCTGCCTCTGACAGCTGCTGTGTTGAGATGCATCCCACAAACCCTCACCTGCTCTCTGTGTGCCAGCGGTCGGGGGTGCAGAGAGGCTCAGAGGGCACCGTCTGAGGGGCCGGGCTCCCCCATGGCCTGTGGCAAGTGATGGGCGAGGGAGGTTGGAGCTGCAGCCTGGAGCCCGGGCCGGCAGGCCCTCGGCTGAGTCACTCCACGCCCAGCTGGGACTCGCATCTGCCTGGGTGTCTTTGTGGGGGCAAGAGCCAGGCAGGCCCGGAAATGGGGCCGCAGCGGGGCCTCTCCCACGCCTGCTGGCCAGAGCCTCCTGCGGCCGCCCTGGCCAGCATCTGGGTGTGCTGCCGCTCCCGGCTCCCTGGTGTTCACGCTCCGTCCGCCCGCCTGTTCCTTCCCACTTCGGTGACAGGCTGCTGTGCGTCCATCCTGACCTGTCCCTCCGTGGCGGGTCCCCTGACCTACGCCCAGAGGGCTTTTTCTCAGCCCCCACTTCCTTTTCCACCCCAAATGGGTCCTTGCGTATCTCTGCTTCTGGGCCCTGCAGCTTCCGGCAGCTTCTGCCCTGTGGCCCTGCCCTACTTGGCCTGGCCTGCGGCCCTCACCTGGGATACCCTCCCTCTGTCCTCCAGCCCCTCCAGAGACCATCCACCGGTCCCGCTCCAACCTCAAGCCCCAAATGGCCAGGTGATGTCACCTCTCTGCGCCTGTTCGCCGTGTCGGTCAGTCGACCAAATGCACAGTCCTTTCGGGAGCTATCAGAGAATGGAGTGAGCCGAGGCATTGAAACAGGACTCCGGGTCAGCGGTGGCCTCGGAGCACGAGGGGTGGGTGGCGCCACGCAGTGTGGGAAGCTCGGCAGCCTGCGAGCAGCTGCCAGCAGCCCTCAGGCCTGGGAGTGAAGTGGGAGGTACTTCTGAGAACAAGTACTTCCCCAAGCCTTCGCCTCCCTGCCCCGTGGCCAGGCACTGACCCCAGGGCTGACCTCACAGCTGGGGGTGGCAGGAAAGAGCAGCCGGAGACCAGAGATGGTGCTGAGGTGTCCTTCCCAGCTAATGAGATTATCTGGGTCTGCAGGGTGGCTGGTCACCGGGAAGCCACCCGGTCTCTCTGGCCTCCGTCCTGTGCAGCGTCCGGGCCGGGGTTCGCCCACCCCCCCTCCTCCCACCCCTTCTTGCTCTGGGCAGACTTGTCCCCCCTTTCCCACCCCAGGTCAGCCAGCCCTGCATGCTTCCCCTCAGCTCCCTGGTCCCAAGACCGTGACTTCGAAGGAGGAAGCCCCAAGATCCCAGGGCTGAGAAGGTCAAACCCCAACAGCCCAGGTGCAAGAAATCTTCACTCTCCTGAAGGCAAGGGGGCAGGACCCCAGAATCCTGACCCCACCCGATGGAAGGACCCCAGATGCCAGCCCTCCCGAGCCCTGAGATTCTAGATTCCTTTGCATTTCCGGTGCTAAGACGCAAGGATGCCAGACCTGAGACATTCCGGGAGCCTCTGGCAACTTGTGCCCCCCCAACCCCAGAGCACTGATGGCTCTCTTGTCTCATCTCCCCTGTTAGGGTGGCCATTGACCCGAGCTGTGAAAGAATTCACAGAGAAGAGAGTGCAGAGAGTAAAGTTTTTATTCACTCTCCAAGAAAGGAGAGGGGCTTGGTGTGCAGAGATGCACCAGCCCTGAGGGGTGGGATGTGGAGCTTTTACTGGGTTGCTGTTGGATTTGAAAAGGGTGGGGATGCCGCAGTGTGGCCCCGGGGCTGTTGGGGGTGCAGTTCGTTCCAATGTTATCTCCTGCCCGCGGCTGTAGGGAGCGGTTAGTCACGTTCTATTCTTGCTTTCCAGTCATTTCCAGTCCTTGGGGACAAGCTCAGAAGAGTAAAATGACAGTCACATTTAACAAGGCCACAGGCCTGCTCAGCCAGCGTGAGCAAATGGGGCTGGTTTGTCCTTCCGTTCTCCCCACCCCCCCATCTGGTTTTACAATGCACTTATTCCTTTTTTAAAAAAAGATTTTATTTATTTATCTTTAGAGGGGAAGGGAAGGAGAGAGGGAGAGAAATATCAATGTGAGGTTGCCTCTCATGCATCCCCTGCTGGGAACTGGCCTGCAACCCAGGCATGTGCCCTGACTGGGAATCAAACCGTGATTCTCTGGTTCGCAGGCCCACATTCAATCCATTGAGCTACACCAGCCAGGGCACAATGCATTTATTCTTAATGACCTGGCCCAGTTTTGTTTTGGGGAGAGCAGTGATGAAGGTCTCCTCTTCTGTAACTACTTCAGGCAGTCTAGGGACGTAGAACTGTCCCCGCCTGTGAATCCAGGTGTGGGTCATCAAAAAACTAGGATTCGCCCTGGCTAGTGTAGCTCAGTGGATTGAGCACGGTCTTCGAACCAAATAGTCTCTGGTTCGATTCCCAGTCAGAGCACATGCCTGGGTTGCAGGCCAGGTCCCCAGTGGGGGCCACATGAGAGGCAACCACACGTTGATGTTTCCCTCCCTCTCTTTCTCCCTCCCTTCCCTTCTCTCTAAAAATACATAAATAAAATCATAAAAAAAATTTTTAAATAGAAAAAACTAGGATTCCATCAGTTCATGGGTGACAGTTGGACATTGTGATTTCCATTGAAACACAATTTCTCTCCCTAAAATCATCCGCATTTTATCAAAGAGACTGAAGATAAGTCCAGTTTCCATGTGGCCTGATTACTTGCATGTACACAACAAGAACAGTGATTGATCACAAATTTTCCTTTCAAATCTGCTGTGCTGCGATTTCACAGGGACCTTCAGTTGGAACTTTCCTCAGCCCTCAGGACACAGAAATCAAGCCACATCATTGCCATATTGATGGAGGACTTGAAAGCTGGAGAATTTTAGTTTAAGTAACAGCTAATAAGCTTAGTAATCAATGCATGTAAAAGCTATGGTTCCAGGGCCCCTGCTGGTGTAGCTCAGTGGATTGAGCACTGGCCTGCAAACCAAAGGGTCACCAGTTCGATTCCCAGTCAGGACACACACCCGGCTTGCAAACCAGGTCCCTATTAGGGAGTGTGTGAGAGGCAACAACACATTGATGTTTCTCTCCCTCTCCCGCCCTTCCCCTTTCTCTAAAAATAAGTAAGTGGAATCTTTTAGAAAAAGTTCTTTTTCCAGGAACTGCAGGTGTGGCCCGCCCTGACTCCAGGAGACCAGAAGCGGTTCCAACTTTGTGCCTCAGGAGGCCTGCAAGCCATCACGATGGAATCTGAGCCTTTGTGCTTTGGGGTGAGATGACCACCACTCAGGGCGAGATTGCTGCAGTTTTTTTTAATCTCATTAATTTTCCCCTGAATTCCAAACTCGGTGCCTGCATTTTGTCTTCCTTATAATAAGGGCCATTTTAAAATAGAATTTAAGACAGTCTGTTAGGGTACAAACCCACCATCTTCTCCGATCACCGGATCTGAATAAAGCGCCCGTAAAGATTCCATCCCTGTCTCTGCTTATTGGGTCTGGTAGGTGACAGGCAGCATGAACACCGGCTTTTCTGGCTTCATATTCTGGTGACTCCATTCTGGGACAGATATGGGGACTCTCCAGTCAGTCTGGGTGTTTGGCAAGGAGTCCCATGGGCTGCCTGGACTGGGGGGCCCCGGGGTGCGGATTTGAAGCTGCCTAGCCGATGCCAAGTGACTTCACTTGGGGACTCTCCTCCTCCAATTCTCAGCACTTCCTGCCATTTTTCACATCTGATTGAATCATCGCACTTTCCGGTTCAGGTTTAAATCCTGGGTCACGCTTAGGAAGTCCGGATTGAAGGTCCCGTCTGGCTTACAGGGCTCTGTCTGGTAAAAAGCCATCTTCTGGTTTGGGAAACAGCCCTTTGGGGTAAGTTTTGGCTGATAGGTTGACCTATGCTGATAGACCTTTGACTAAAAAGAAAGTGGTTTGTACTGTAATACTGTTCGGCTTATGTATCGTCTGATCTAGACTCAGGAGGGCTATGGCCGCTGAATGGGTCTTTAAATCACTGTATTATTCTATAACTAGAGCTGTCTGTCAGAGATTGGGGAAGCAGGACAAAATGCATTATCCAGAAACCCTCATGAGTTTACATCATCAGGATGCAGAATTAAAAGGAAGGAGATGAGCCCCGGCTGTTGTAGCTCAGTGGATTGAACGCGGGCCCATGAACCAGAGGATCGTGGTTTGATTCCCAGTCAGGGCACATGCCTGGGTTGTGGGCCAGTTCCCCGCAGGCGACCCACAAGAGGCAACCATACATTGATATTCTCTCCCTCTCTCTTTCTCTTTCCCTCTAAAGATAAATAAATAAAATCTTAATTTAAAAAAAGGAAAGAGATGAATGGTCCAGAAAAAAAGGGAATTTGCCCGCAAAAGACACAGAAGCTCAGAGGAGAGAGCCCAGGAAGGTCTGAATATCATGGCTGCTGCGAGCATGGTCAGGGTTCCCACGGCCCCTCCAGCCCTGGGGAGGGGAGGTCTTCCTCCTTACTCAGCTGAGGGAACTGGGAAAAGTGAGTCTGAACTGGCCTCACCATCTGGAACCCATCAGGGAACCAAACTTGGTGGAGGACCAGCCCCTACCAGGCCTGGGCAATACCGTTTGGGAAAAGTTACAGTGGGAATAGGGCCAGAAGGCCAGCCCGCAGGAGATTATGGGCCTGCTCTCCGTTTCCACACCAGATCGGTTAAACCGGAAAAACTCCGAAAGGACCAGAGTGCATCCCTTTAGAATTCACGAAGGAGTGCACCCAGACTCTCAAGTCCCTGAAGGCGCACCTGGCTTCTGCACTGGCCTCGCGGCTTCCAAACCTACGGCAGGCCTCTCAGTTACAAGTTCACGAAAGGCAGGGCGTTGCCCCAGGTGTCCTCACCCAAATGCTTAGTGACATTTGCCGCCCGTCACATACTTGTCGAGGAAACTAGATCACACTGGCCAGGGGGTGGCCAGCCTGCTGGAGAGCTGCGGCAGCCACCTGCAAGCTGCTACAGGAAGCTGGAAGGTTTGCCTTGGAACAATCTATAACCTGTGTAAGCACCCCAGCGGTGATGAGCCTGCCGGAGCAGAAGAGAGATGTGTGGCTCGCTGCCGGAAGAATAGGCAGGTACCCAGCCATTCTTCCCAACGATCCCAATAGCTCCCTCAAAACTGTAAGTGAGTTAAACCCTGCCTCTCTTCTCCCAGAGTCTGACTCGGCTGTGCTAATCCATGACTGTGCTGGGATAACTGATGAAGTGTATTCTAGCAGAACTGATGTACGGGACCATCCTCTAGAAGAAGCAGACTGGACTCTCGATACAGATGGAAGCAGTTCTATGGGCAAAGGAAGCAGAAAGGCTGGATATGCAGTTGCGACTCTTGAAGAGATAGTGGAGGGCAAGGCCTTGGTGCCGGGAGCCTCTGCTGAGAAAGCTGAACTGATCGTACTGACGAGGGCACTGGAATTGTAGCAGGAAAAGGGACCGGATGTGTACACAGATTCAAAGTACGCTGTCTTGATTTTGCATGCACATGGTTCAGTCTGGAGGGATAGAGGACTATTAACCTCCAGTAAAAAGGAGATTAAGCATGCAACAGAAATTTTGAAATTATTAGAGGCTGTTCAGGTGCCATTGCAGGTGGCAGTTATGCACTGCCTGGGGCATCAGAGAGAGGACACTAAAGTGGCTAGAGGAAGCCATCGGGCTGAATGGGCAGCAAAAGAGGCTGCTAAAGGAATGTTTATAATGCCCTCGATACCTGTTCTGGACTTGTGACAATTTGACCATGAATATTCTTCTTAAGATTTTATGTATTTATCTTTAGAGGGGAAGGGAAGGAGAGAGGGAGAGAAACACCAA